GTGCGAATAGTTTAACATTCGGAACAAAGTTTCTCCTATCTTTTCTCAAATGTATATCTGCTACCTGTGTATGAGTTATCTATCTGTGAAGTCATTCTTAAATGTAGCAATTTCCTAAAATTTAAATAAACATTTTATTCAGTTTCGGGGTTAGAGAACTAGTAGCTCTATGTACTAACCAGGTAATCAGTGCTAGTGGACGTCTAGTGATCTTATATAATAATATTCTGTGGAAACTTTAGGAATTGTTTCCGGACATTTTCCTGCAAAGGTTTCTCAGCAATTAGCGAGGAATGTTCGTATCTGTAGATATTATTATGGTAATATATACATTGATAACAAACAGTTCCCCGCGTAAAAGAGAAAATATCTATAGAGAAATAATTGCAAAAGAATAACAAATTTGCAAACAAATTTTTATTGATAACTTGAACCTTATAGGTAGTGATTCAAATCCCACCGCCTCATTAAGCATTCGAGTTCAATTCTCAATTTATTCTCCAAAAGTATAAGGCTCTATTTTTTGCCATGTAAAGTGTCACTTTCTTGTCCAAATGAATAAGTATTCAAGATTAGTTTTCCCAGCTATCAAGTAGGGAATTGTTTCCTTATGAGGTATATATTCATACTTAAACCCATATAGAAACAATTCCCTCCTTAAACGAGAAAATCTTGTTTCGAAATTGTTTAGTCATTTTCGAACAAGTTTTTCGTTTTTAATAAGAAACTAAAGGCTATGAGCACTGATTATATATTAGGTCCTCACAGCCTTTAGTTTCTATAGATTAAGCTGTTGAAACTTTCTCAAATGATAAAGTTTATTTCAGAGAAAGTTTCCCAGCTATCAAGAGGAATTGTTCCTTTATGAGGTATATATTTATAATGTATACCTCATAAGGAACAATTCCCTTCATTAAAATCGTAGATATTTTTTACTATTACTCATGCTTTTAAAATCACCAAATCCTTCTGAAAAGGTTTATTTTTATTAAGATATTTTAGAATTTGAATAAATACCTTTTTTAAATCTTGATATAATACTGTAATTTTTCAAAAAGACAGTCTTCTTGAAAAGATAACTCCAAAGTTTCTTGAAACAACTGATTTTTGATTCAATTTTGAGGAAATATCCGTATTTAATTAATTCAATGAGAGAGTTAGTGTCAACAGCTACTTTAATTTTTAGAATGTCAAAAAATTATCATGTTGCTTCTAAAATGCTGCGACAAAAATGGATTTAGGTTGATTAAAAGTTAGTATACCAATATTGAAGAAATCCCACGGAGCGATTTGTTACTTACATAATGCGTACTTCCCGACGATTAATGTTGTGGCGCCGATATCCTGGATTCGTTGACCGAAGGGTAGGCAGGTGCGAACGAATTCCTCAATAAAGTGCCAAAAACCCTATAAAATGATGAGTGAGACAGTATTTCAACATTTGTAATGTTTTTATTTAAAAGATTTGATGGAATTATGAGGCTTTCAAACAATTTGATGTATGTAAATAAAAATAATATAATATCATGTATTTGTTCGGTATTAGCAAACCGAGTTAAGTCGATTCTCCTTTCTTCTACTGCATGTTGTGAGCGGTTTGATTTCGAATTGTAAAAAGATATCAAAGGGGAAAAATACTGTAGCGATAAAAACTGACGCTCCATGAAAGAGGGTCATATGGAGTCAATTGTATTTTTGATATTTGTGCTCGAGCCTAAATAGGTAGCCAAGATAATCACTAAAAAATAAGGTTCTAAATTCTTGAGATTTACATGATTCCTCTCGTGTGCACCCTTTAACATATTACAAAATAATCATCGGAATAACAATAGTTATTTTTTCGTCAAAGTTTCTTCTTTTTGTTTCAACAAACTTCTATTTACATATTGAAACTCTTTATCTTCAATTTCGGATCGTGCGATTTACACTTAAGAGTTGGATTACAATCGAATTCGGACGATATTCCAGAAGATATATCAATAAAGTTTGCTGTTTGTGAGTTTGAACGTTTTCGATGCATGTACCATATAGGAAGAGAGGGAAAATTGCAATAGTAAATACATGCAAACATATAAGTAATAGAATATTTACTAAATTAGAGGCTGTTACAGTTTCTGTGGTGTTGCCTGAAATTGAAAATAGGTTCGAGAAAAATACTATTTTTTTCAATTTCGAATAATTAAATAAAAAGATCATATTCAAAAAGATCGTGGGAAAATTTTTCTGTGTCATAAGATTATGTTGCCTTTCAATTTTAGAACTCAAAATGTGATAGTTATAATTTCATACAAAAGTACATGCAATGTATTATTATCGAATATCAACAACGATGTGGGGATTACAAAACTCTTGTGTATTGTCTCTTCGATTTAATTGCTAATGCATTATCGACAGTCTACAGGGATGTCTAAACGTATTGGGTGCGAGGATGGTAAAGGGGTAGTAGTATAATAGATATACTTGATTTGCAGTTTGTTTCTAAGTTAATAGGTATAGGGTTGTACAAGAACTGGCACAATGTTTGCGGGGCGCTCTGCGCAGGAGGCTTGCGACGACGGCGGCCAAGAAAGTCAAGAAGAAAGTGCGCAAACAATCGGCCGTCGTGGCTGGAAAGGGGGAGCCCGGAGAGGGTCGTAGGCATGCCGCTGTCCACGCCAGCTCGTGGCCTAGAGCCGACCAGATGGTATATAATATGCTATTGATTTTATTCTTCTTTTCTTCTTCATTTTTTTTCATGTGTTTCTGCTGTTATTCTGTTTTGTTCCCTTTTTCCGCTTCGCTGTTTTTTTCTAGTTTGAAAGGAAAAAAGCTGAGAGAAAAGTTTAATTAATTAATTTTATTGAGCTATGAAAATACTTTTTTAGCTTATATTGTTAAGCTTGTGAGAGTTTAAGTGAGTGAAGAATATAAGATCCAAATTTGGGAAATTCAACAAATCGATTTATGATTAAGTTGAATATTGTTGACGTCTAGGATTAGGAGAGTGTTCAGAGTTTAGTGAGACTCAGGTGTATTGATAATAATAGAAAAGTATAACTCAGAGATAAATAAAGAGGGGGTTTTAAACATGTAGATTGAAAATCAAGACTACGCATGGTGTTTGGATATGATATTAAGTAAGTGAAGGTGTGATTTATTGTAATGGTTCAAATCTGTGAAATGCGGAATTAGCGAAGAGTTAAAGGGCGTAGTTCAAAAAATTAAAGAGAGGGTTTTAATAAAGGTGGTTAAATATGCGAGAAGGGTGTGAAGACTAAAAAGAGGAGTGATTGTTAGTTATTTCAGTAATTATCAGAAAAGGTTAAAGAAGATAGGCGTAAGTAATGAGACTTGAGTGGAATGTGAGAAGATCATGTAATAAGTAGGGTAATCTGATGATATAGGTAATGATCTAGATGAGTAAGGAGTAATGAGTAATATAAGGGAGTAAGTGAGTTAAGATCTGGGTTAGTAAGGTAGTAATGAGAGTTAAGATCTAGGTTAGTAAGTTAGTTAATGAGAGTTGTAAAGACTCTCGCGTTCAGTAAGGTAGTAATGATGAGCTTAAGATCTGGTTAGTAAGGTCAGTAATGAGAGTAAGATCTAGTATGTTATGAGAGTAGATGCTGTGTAGTAAGGTGAAAGAGAGTGTAAGATCTGTTAGTAAAGGTAGTAATGAAGAGTTAAGATCTGGTTAGATAGTAAGTGGAGTTAAGACGATAGTAGATAATGAGAGTTAAGACTGGTAGTTAAGGTATCATAATGAGAGTTAAAGATCTTGGTTTTAGTAAGGTATAATGTTTGAGAGTTAAGATCTGGTTAGTGTATGAAAAAAAGGCTTTATATGAAGAATATAGAAAATATTGTCATGAAAACGATATAAGACCAAGCTCTAGAGAAAAATTCTATGCTGGTATAAAACATCTTTTCGAAGTTCGGAATGGCAAATATAGAAAGAAATAATTTTTTCTAAGTTTATTTTTTCGAAAAAATATTTTTTTATTTCCTACTAAAGATGTATCGGAAGTTGTCTAAGTTAGAACACTCGGAAATAAAACAACTTCTTACAGAAGCTAATATAGATGTTGCAAAGCATTACGCGACAAACAAAAAAGCACTCGCTGACTTCATTAAAGACTACAATGGTGCAATAAGTTATGATAGAATTCATGAGTTCATAAAGCCGCAACGCGGCGAGGACGAAGTCCATGCAAGAGCATTTCCTTTAAATGACATTGCTATTGACTTATATCATAGACGTTCAGTACCTCATGAAGTAAGAAGAGAAATGTTTGACATAACAAATGCGAACGTTGGTCATACTCGTAAAGCTCTTTCGCATGATGTTCGTCAAGAAATGTTTGACATAACAAATGCAAACGTTGGTGAAACAAGAAGAAGAGACGACACACTGAAACAACAGAGAAGAGAGATGTTTAAAAGTGCTATAGAACAAGTTCGCAAAGCTAACGATGTCATTCGTTCCATTGACGACAAACCAAAAGAAGGTGAGAGATGGTTAAAGAAAGATGAAGAGAATAGGAAGAGAAATGTGAAGTCAGGCAATAGACTCATTGACTTTAACATCGAAGCTTTAGATGAACCAAACAGAGAATATTTACACAAACATTTCGGTAAGGTTTTCATGAGACTCTTAGAGAAAATTAAAATAAACTCGCAACAAAGATGGATGGTATGTTATAAACTTGGTGGAAAGTATGAATGTTCTACGTTAAACCTCAATAATATTGGAACATTACTACATCAGCTCTTGAAGGAGAACTTTATATCAGAGATAGAAGCAAATGCTGCAGGTATTGTTGAAATGCACTATGACTTCTTCTTGACAAACATAAAGAATCTTACTGAAATAAAGATGTATGATTTAACAGAATATGAAGGCTTAACGATGTCAGATGTAAAGAAAGGCAAACCAAAAAAGAGACCATATAGAGATGAAAGCACACTGACAAATGACCAGAAAGCCATTTTGGAAGCTCTTAAGCAAACAGGAAACCCAGCACTTATAGAAAGCTTTTGGAAAGATAATGGTGAAAAGAAGTTTTATAAGAAGAGAAGCGGTCAGTTATGGAAGTATCTTTGCACATTACCTATAAATCTTGAACGCTACCAAATCTTCAATGAACTGAACAAAAGAACTGCAATACTTATGACAGAGGACAATTGTTTCGTTTATGCTTGCATTCAGGCTGGAGTAAATGAAGAAACTATTGACCACATGAGAGAAGTCATTCGTGTTAGAGACTTTCCTCAAAGTAAAGTACAAGAAATTTCTGACGCAACAGGTATAGCATTTAATGTTACCATTGGTTATTTCAATGACTCAAGACATAATGAAATAAAGAGATATATACCAAAAGAATGCGAAACTGTTAGAACTATTGACTTACTTCTTGTTGAAGACCACTACATGCTAAATGAAAGACTTCCAATGACAACATACTTCATTCGAAACTATAAAGAAATTCTCAAAGCTTGTGGTGGAATGAACATTGAGAAACAGATGAAGATTTATACAAAGAGAGAAGATAAATATGTAGTTCGTTATGATAGAACAACACCGTTATGGGATGTTATGAAAACATTGTGGGAGTGCAAATATTTCGAACCTATTTCTTATGGAGAACTTTTCACATATACTACTGACTTATATAAACAGAACCTTGCACCATTTAAAGATTTGACATATGCTCCAAAGTATTGTGTACAACTGAAGAAGAAAGCAGAGTCAAAAGAAGTAAATAAAGCTAAATGTAAATTCATTCCTGAGCACGTTTTCTTTGCTGACTTTGAGTGTAGTACGGATGGCTTTCATAAAGCTTTTAACATCTGTTATGACAGTGAAGATGGTTCAGTGAGTGAAAGCATTTGGGGTCAAAACTGTGCAACAGAATTTTTGGAAAGACTCCCTGACAAGAGTTTAATATATTTTCACAACCTCAGTTATGACATAAACTTCATCTTAAGACACATGACAGAAGTGAAAGGAACTCCCATCATTAAAGGTTCACGAACAATGCAAATAACTGGTTTATATAAAGGACGGGCAATTATTATAAAAGACTCTTACAGTGTTATAAATAAGAAGCTTAAACTATTTCCTGCTATGTTTAACTTACAAACAGGACCGAAAGAAGTATTTCCATATAACTACTACAGCAGTGTTTTGTTAGCAAATGACAACAGAACTGGTGTCATTTCTGAAGCATGTAAGTTTATCCGGGATGCAGATACATTTATGAAAAACATAGATTCCATCAAAGGTTGCAGAATAGATGAGAACCACTTCGACTTAGAAAAATATAGCACGTTTTACTGCAAACAAGATGTAAGAATTTTAAGAGAAGGTTTTGTAAAGTTCCGCAATGACTTATTGAAAGAGTTTGATTTAAACGTTTATGACTACGTTAGTATTTGTTCAATTGCTAACAAATTGTTTGAGAACAGAGTATACTTCCCGAATGGAAATCTTTATGACCTCTCAAATAAACCAAGAGAATTTATTTCGAGATGCATTCAAGGTGGAAGATGTATGTTGTCAGATAACATGAAACAAAAGAGCAAAAAGAAACTCATTGCTGACTTCGACACTGTTTCATTATATCCTTCAGCTATAGCAAGACTTTATACTTTAGAAGGTATTCCAAAAGTATTGAAGGAAGAAATGTTAAACACAGAGTATCTCATGAGACATTTATTCGATGATGACCAAAAGGAACCCATTGGTGAAAAGTTTATGTCTGGCTTCTTTGTTCTCATTAAGATAACAGAGATTGGTATACCCAGACACTTTCATTTAATAGTTTGCGACCCTGAACTAAATCCAGAACTTAACGTTCCAAGAAGTTCAAACACTTGCTGTCTCATGTATGTTGACCATATAACATTACAAGACCTCATAAAATATCAAGGTGTCAAATGTGAAGTGTTGCAAGGATACTATTACGATGGAAACAGAGATATGAGAATAAGAGATGAAGTAAAGAAGTTGTTTGAGTTAAGGTTAAAGTATAAGAAAGAAGAAAACCCCTTACAAGAAATTATAAAACTCATTCTGAACAGCATTTATGGCAAAACTATTCTATCTCCTATTGAGTCAAAAATAACCATAGTAGATGACAAAGATGCTATAAGATATGCTATAAGAAATTACAACCATATAGTGAAGTTCGAAGGTTTGGATGGTTCAGATAAAACTATTTTCAAGCTAACGAAAAGCATTTGCAGACACTTTAACTTCTGTCCACTTGGTGTTAATATTCTGTCTATGTCAAAACGTATTATGAATGAAGTATTCTGTACTGCAGAGGACATGGGTCTTCAAATATTTTACCAGGATACCGACAGTATGCACTTATATAATGAAGACATCCCAAAGCTTGCAGCAGAGTTTAAGAAGAGATACGGTAGAGAACTTATAGGAAAGAACCTTGGTCAATTTCATAGCGACTTTGCAGAAATAACACCTGGAAAACAAAGTTTAGCTTATAAAAGTATTTTCTGTGGAAAGAAGACCTACATAGACTTACTCACGAATGATTTAAATGAAGTTGCATTTCACTGCAGAATGAAAGGCGTGAAGCAAGATGTTATTGCTTTAACCGCTAATGAAATGTTTCCTGAAGCTATACAATGCTATTACAATGAAGATAAGAACATTCACATACCTGTTGGAACATATGACAAAGACTCTGAGTTCAGTTTAATGAAACTTTACAAAGCACTTTATGATGGTCAAGAGATTGCATTCGACTTATGTAAGTCATGTCAACCTTGCTTTGCTGAAAAGTTCAACTTTTCAATAACGACTAAAACAAGCTTTATTCGTAAGTTGAAGTTCTGAGGTCATTTATTTTTGTCAGCAATGAGGTCATTTGTGATAAAAATAAAGCTAGCGTAGATTTTACAATACTGCGATGTAGAGTTTAAGAGTTGTGCTTCAATGTAGAGACAGTCTTCCCATCTGGAGGTAAGAACACTGGACATTATGGTCATGAGTGGAGAACATGTCTATCCAAAACTCACGATTGAAGCCAGTTAATTTATAGTATTTAGGGTTAGGAAGTGGTGAAGTTCTTGTATGACCAATGAACTCATTTTCAACTCCTTTGTTATGAATATAATATAGCTTGCTTTCTATCCCAAATGCCAGGTGTTACAATCTTTGAAAATTCATTTTTCCTCGGAAGCATTGCATCATAATTGAAAACATTCTTAAAATCATCATTGGTTCAGAGATTTGAAACCTTATACGTAATGGATTTTCTTTCTTTTTAGCGACTTCATTGAATGGTGAATAATACAAAATGACAGTCATGAGTTCCATCTTCATTTTCATTAAATTCATAATGAAAGTCTATAAGTTGTGGCTGACTACCTTCTTCTTTCAGTTGTGCAAGAAACTCACGTAAAGGCTGTAAAGTTTGTACTTCAATATTGAACTTTTTCTCGAACATCTCATTAAATGAAATCATACATTGCAACAATGTTGTATCGTCTTTAAAGTATTTGTATATGTGAATGTTTTGGGCGCTTAAAGACTGTTCGTCATTTTCTATCTCGACTTGAAGTATAAAGTCAACCTTTCTGAAAGCACGTGTTATATACATAGATGTTATGCCAATGTACTTCTCTTCATTTATGTTCACAATCCAGTCTGTTGGAAACTTAAACGTTACTCTGTTCCCCTTTATTTTGACGTCAGGGTTTTCACTACTGAACGCAACAGATAAAGGTATTTGTCTATACATTTAGTTTGGATAAAAATAAACCATTTACTCTTTCTTTGCTTCAGCTTCCTTTGCTTTTTGTTCTTCCTTTGCTTTTGCTTCTTCTCTAGCTTTTTTCGCCAGCAAACGTGGGTTCTTCTGTCTTCCAGCAGCTAATGCAGCTAGTTGTTTTTCACTAAGTTTTCTCTTTGGTCTCTCTGGCTTTTGTTCTTGTTTTTGTTCCTTCAGTTCGGATAAAATTTGCTCACGAATTTCTTTCTTCAATGCTTCAACATCTATGACCCCTTGGGTCTTGTCCGTAGGATTGTCTGAGTCATTTGACTGTAGATAAAAAACTAAATTAAAACTTTAACCGATGTAAAATGAGCTTGTCAAAATCAGAACGAGAGTCTATTATATTAAATGACGCCAGAGGAATACAACATCCTTTCTATTATGTAAGTCAGAGTAAAGATGGTAAAATATGTAAGAAAAAGAAAGGTTCCATTAGCGAATCAGAGAGCGACAACATTAAGGTGCATGGCAAGGGTGAAGCCACGAAGCCCATATAAAACCTTCTGTTCAAACTGAGCCACCAAAAGAACAAGAAGAAAAGAAGCCAGATGTACTTTCAATAACGAACCAAGAGCTTATTGCAAAGTTCGTGAATTTCATTGAAAAACAAACCGAGTCAAAGAACCCTGACCCACCAGTGAAAGAAGTTGAGACAAAAGAGAATGTACAGTTCATTGAAAATGTCAAGAAACAACTTCCACCACGAATACCAAGAAGAAGAGTGAGAATAATGAAGTAAATAGATATTTTTATCTGAAGTAAATACATGCAGAACGAACAGTTAAACGAATTTACTCCAGCAGAGCATATTCATCAGATTCGCTCATATTTCGATATCATAGACAATGCAGTTCAAATTGGTGACACTAATAGAAAATATTCTGACGCAAAGATTCCATCACAACCTGGAACTGCTAAAGATAACACATGGGTAACATTCAATCTCTCACCTCCTGGTGAAAATATGTTGG